CTCGTGGCATGTTTTAGTATATATGGATAGTTTATGTTATTCATTTCTACCAAAAACAAATTTTGACATTATTTGGTGTGTGTGTGTGTGTGTGTGTGTGTGTGTAATGCATACCATGCCTGTAGAGGTCAGAGGCCAGCCTTTGGGAGTCTGTGTTCTCTGTTTATGCCGTGGGTTCTAGAGATCCGAGGTTAGGTTGTCAAACCTTGAAATCCTAATCCTTCTACCTCTACTTTCCAAGGACTGGGATTGCAGGCATGTGCCACCATGCTTCACTGATAAGATGCTGAGAACCAATCCCAGGGCTTCTTGGGTGCTAGACAAGCACTCTACCAACCAAGTTACATCTTAGATCCTAAAACAAAACTTTATATTGAAAACACTTAATTCAATTGGTCACGAATATTTGTTTTATGGCAGTGGTGGGGCTGAGCCTAGACTTGTCTACAGTAGGTGAACACTTTACCACAAACGCTACTGTCAATCTTAAATATTACCTTGTAAACTATTATCTGAATGAACGTTGCTATTAAAGGTCATTTGTAAATCAGGAAACCATTCTTTCTACGAATATTCCAAATATGCTATTAGGGCGATGGAGAGATGGTTCGGTGGTTAAAACCACTTGCTGCTGAAACCCTGATTCAGTTCCTAACACCCAGGTTTGTCAGCTCACAGCCAGCTCCAGGGGGATCCCACACCCTTTTCTGGCTTCTGAGGTCACTGTACACACACATGGCAGCTCACAACCGTCTATAACTGCAGTCACATGGATCTGATGCCCTCTTCTGGTGTGCAGACATACACGCAGACGAGATACCCATATATCTAAAATACATAATTTTTTAATTGCAGTTGTATTAGAACATTAGAAGGCAGCATCCGCTACCATTGTATGTGGATTTTTTATCTACAAGGATCATCTCACTATCCCCTGAGGATGATATGAAGTGAATGTAGCAAAGGGTTCTCTGTTGCGTCAACACAGGCAGTGGGACAAGAAATGCAACTGGAAGATGCTGTTGCTAAATCTGTTTCCTGAGTCTTGGGGCACCACAAAACAATGACTTTTGAGGCTCTATTTCAAACAAAAACAACAATAAAAAACCATTTGAAAGTCGAGTCAACGGTACAAAGCAGGGAGAGCAGGGATGTTCTCAGCCGCAGTTGGAGGCTGCAGTAACAAACTCCTAACGCTACTACCAAGTGATTTCCAGGTTAACAACAACAAACTAAAACAGGACAGGTGGTGGTGGTGAACGCCTTTAATCCCAGCACTTGGAAAGTAGAGGCAGGTGGATCTCTGTGAGTTCGAGGCTAGTCTGGTCTACAGAGTAAGTTCCAGGACATCCAGGACTGTTTCACAGAGAAACCCTGTCTCAAAAACAAACAGAAAGAAAGAAAGAAAGAAAGAAAGAAAGAAAGAAAGGAAGGAAGGAAGGAAGGAAGGAAGGAAGGAAGGAAGGAAGGAAGGAAGGAAGAAAGAAAGAGAAAAAAGAAAAAACAAATCAAAAACCAAAGATTGTTGTGTCAGTGTACACTGAGGCAGGAGAATCACCACTCTGAGGCCATCCTGAGTACACATGTTCCAAAGAGAGACCATATTTTTAAAAGAAAAAAAAAACTACATAGTTCTCCAAGACATTAAGACATGATTTTTTTTCCAAGTAATTCAAAGCAGAATAGATTTATCTGACTACAATACAATCCATTAAAAAAATCTATCTTTAGGGCTGGAGAGATGGCTCAGAGGTTAAGAGCATTGCCTGCTCTTCCAAAGGTCTTGAGTTCAATTCCCAGCAACCACATGGTGGCTCACAACCATCTGTAATGGGGTCTGGTGCCCTCTTCTGGCCTGTAGGCACATACACAGACAGAATATTGTATACATAATAAATAAATAAATATTTTTAAAAATCTATCTTTAGAAACTTTTGCTGAAACACTATTTTGCTTTTTCAGTAAAGAAAACCTTGAAGTCAGTCACATCCCTAAATGCTTGACAGGTTGCTATGGGAAACCCCAAATAGGTGCGAAACAACTGAACGGTCTCAGGTGGGGCTTCAAGAAGGTCATCGAAACAAATTGCTGGGGGTAGGAGTTTATTAGAAGAGTTCTTATGCCATGAACAGACGGACAACAACTTGGCAGGGACTGCAGGAGAGTTTGGCTTCAACATCAGAGACAGACTGTATGGGGGGGGGGGGTCTCAGAAGAGAGGAATCAAGAGCCCATGGCGCAGAAGTGGGACTCTCCACACGCACGTGCACATACATGTGTGGATGTGGGAGCAGGTTCTCTCCTAACATGTGGGAATCTTCACGTTCCTAGGGTTAGTGGCAAGTGCCTTTATCCATCCCACTGGCTTCATTTTACGAGCTCAATGACAACCCAGGGTATTGGTTGCTCTTTACAAACTGACGGCGAGGCCCTATTGCTGAAGGCAGCACCGGTGGACATGGAGAAGTCAGTCTGGTGCCTACCTGGAGCCGTCACCCCTACTGACTAGTGTTCAGGCACTGGAAAATACTCAGCAAGCTACTGAAGGAGAAAGCTAAACACTAGCCCAGCTACAAACCCTCCCATCCTCAATGGCGACCTGCTTGAATGTGCTGGTGTAATAGTGGCACAAGCTTGTGGGAGTAACATCTGATTGGATTTAAGACGCACTGCATGAGATGGAGCCCATTCCCAACACTGCTGGAGTGGTCAAGAGCTAGAGACTAGAGAGACCAAGGACCTAGGGCAAAACCAAATACTAGTGTTCTGTTAAAGCAATGGTTCTCAACTTTCCTCGTGCTGTGACGCCTTAATACAGTTCCTCATGTTGTGGTGCCAACCAAAAAATTATTTTTGTTGCTACTTTATAACTGTAATTTTGCTACTGTTATGAATCATAATGTAAATATCTGTGTTTTCTGATACTCTTAGATGACCCCTGCAAAAGGGTCATTCAGCCCCCAAAGGGGTCATGACTCACAGGCTGAGAACCACTGTGTTTAAGGAACATAGCGGTAAAATAACTCTGCTATACTCAGATCAGTGTCTGGCTCGGCCATCATCAGAGAAGCTTCCTCCGGCAGCGGATGGGAACAAATACGGAGACCCACAGCTGGATAGAAGATTGAGAACGATAGATCTTAGAATACTTCGTCCTACATGAGATGTCCTCCATCAGATTCCTGCCCTCTGGCTCAGGGAACTCTGCAGAAGAGGAGACAGGAGGAACCTAAGAGCCAGAGGGATGGAGGACACCAGGGAATCAAGGCCTTCTGAACAGCAGGAGTCTCACCAGGTCCACAAACCACTCTTAAGGGAAGGCCCCATGCTCAGCAGTAGACAGTCAACACAAAATTATCTCAATGGCGTCTTGGAGTTTCTTTGTCTCATAATGCTTTTTTGGGCCTTTATTTTTTCCCCTTACAGGTCTTTACAAACATGTTATGCAAATATACAAATTATACACCTATATATTATTGCATATATATACTATGGTTTTCAGTTTTGTGTTTTTATGAGATTTCTGGGTGTAAGACTGTGTGTGTCTCCATGTGTACAAGTGTTTCCTGTGCTTTTTATTTGAGTCCCTTTATTTTATCCTATTCCAGTTTGTTTTTGCTTTATTTATTAGTATTATTTTAGATGCCTGTTTGTTTTCTAATGAGAGAGAAAAAGAAAGAGTGTAGATTTGGAGGGAAGGGGATGTAGGGAGGAGCTGGGGGAGGGAAACCATAATCAGAATATATTGAATGAAAAATGTGTTTCTAATAAAAGAAAAAAGAGCACAATGACTTTCGGAAGTTATAACAGATTGAGGGTGGTGGCGCACACCTGTAATCCCAACAGAGGCGGGAGGGTCTCTGTGAGTTCAAGGCCAGCCTAGTCTAAAAAGGGAGTTCCAGGACAGTCAGGGCTACACAGAGAAATCTTTTCTCAAAAAAACTGAAAAAAAGAAAGAAAGAAAGAAGAAGAAGGAAGGAAGGAAGAAAAGAGAAAGAAAGAAAGAAAGAAAGAAAGAAAGAAAGAAAGAAAGAAAGAAAGAAAGAAAGAAAGAAATTATAGTAGTTACTGCTGGGCATTGGCACGTGTCTCTAATCGCAGCACTTGGGAGATGCAGGCAGGAGGATGGAGTTCAGGGTCAGGTTCCTTATAGTATCACATATTGAGGTGAACTAAGAGTCTCTCTGGTAAAGGCTGTAAGATCAGGTAAAATCTAATAGGATTTTGTGTTTTTAATTTATTTTTGTGTCTTTATTTTTGAGACAGGGTCTCGCGCAGCCCTGGCTGTCCTGGTATTTGCTATGCCACTCTTTTTTTCACTGAACAGGGTAGAAGTATTTTGGAAAATTATGCTGCATCAGGAAGCCACACCCTCCTTGATTCGTTACCGTCCCATCAGACCCCAAGGAGCCGGCGATGCTCTACTGCGGTGAGTTAGTGGAGGACCACGGCGTTCGTGTATGGCATACTTCTGCTCACGGCTAGCCCCGCTCTGGGAGGGCTCCTCTCGGCTCTCCCTTCCTTCCCAGGCCGGAGCCTTCTGGCTCACCTCACCTGACAGGCGTGCTCAGGCGGAAGCTCTTGGCTCATCCCAAGATCTAAGGCAGCTAGACCAGAGGTGGCTGAGAACAGCCCCCTCAGTTACAACCTGGTCATGGGATTGCGATGTTAAAACAGTTCCGTACCATGGCTCTGTTTGGAAACTGAGATAGCTCAGCTGGGATAGTGTCTTCTATCTTAGTAGTCTAAGAGGGAAGTAAAGTAAAGGCCTTTTTCACTTTTAAGGATATATATATATTTCGAGTCAAGTTTTCTGTGTAGCCCTGGCTGACCTGGGATTAGCTCTGGTCTATGGAGCGAGTTTCAGGACAGCTAGGGCTACACGGAGAAACCCTGTCTCAAACAAAACAAATAAAAACAAAACAAACTATTGGAAGTGGTATGTAAACTAAACACACATACACTTATGTTTGTATCAGAACAAAAGGGCAAATACAACATTTCATATAAATATTTTAATTATCTTATTACAGTTTATTTACATCCATATACACTACCGAATGTGTATAATCATATGCAGCTATTCACAGGTACAGCATCATAGATAAAAACTTGAGTCACACAAAAAAATTAATCAACATATCACACACAGGTTACTTCAGTGCTAGAGAACCTTATATAAGTGAATCTGTTCCAGAGCTTCTCTGTCAGTTTCCGACTGCTGGCACACATCAAGGTTCAGTGGTATCTCTTCCACCCAGCAGGACAGCTGCAGATCAGCCTAGGGGGAAACAGCATACAATGTGAAGCTTTCCAGAATGGTCCTATTGCTTGGAATTTCACATTATCACCCTAAGTAAATTACACAACAGATTTTTTTAAAGACCTACTTTTATTTTATAGTTATTAATTTTTACATGCATGTATGTGTACCATATTTGTGTTTGGTCCCCAAGAAGGCCACAAAAGGGTGTCAGATTCCCTGAAACTGGAGTTACAGATAGCTGTGAGCTGCCACACGGGCGCTGGGAACCAAACCCAGGTCCTCTGCTGGTACAGCAGGTGCTCTAAAGTGTGGAGCCATCTGTCTGGTCCCCTGCAATACAGGAGCTTTATCACCGTGAGCAGCACCAAGTCACATAGTACCACATGAATAAGTTTTGCTGTTTTCAATTTGTGGGTTTGGAAACTTATTTTACGTTGATTTTGGAACTTGAAAAATACCTTTTACAAAGACTTTTTGAAAAAAAATAAAGTGTTTTTAGATTTATTTATGTCTATGAGTGTTTTGCTTGCGAGTAGGCTGTGCGCCACTTACGTGTGCCTGGTACATAGGAGTTCAGAAGGAGGTTTATCCTGGAATTGGAGTTATAAATGGTTGTGAGCCATGAGGGTGCTGGGAACTGAACCCAGGTACTCTGTAAGAGCAAGTAGTGCTCACAACAGCTGAGTCATCTCTCTAGTTCTAGGATAATTATTTTAATGTATGTGGTGCAATAATTATCATAGTCTTAAGTAATCGAAGACAGAAACAAAAGGAATACATAAGAAGCACAGAGAACTTGTCTTCGTTCTCGTAGCCCTGGTCAGGAGCAATCTCCCCCCACAACCTGCAAGAGATCGGACTCTTCACCCTATAAACTCTGGAGCCATACAAACCTGTCTAAAGCAGTTTTCCTTTTACACAAATTTAGCGATTGTCACACACGCACATGTGGCTATTTGAAGACAGCCCTCCAGAGGCCCTTCTCTCCACCACGTGCAATCTGGGGACTGAGCCCAGCTGCCAGGCCTGCACGGCAAGAGTTGCTGCCTGCTGAGCAAACTGCGCTGGCCTCAGAGTTGTTTTCTTTTTTCTTTTGTTTTGTTTTTCGAGACAGGGTTTCTCTGTAGCTTTGGGGCCTGTCCTGGATTTTGGTCTGTAGACCAGGCTGGCCCTGAACTCATAAGAATTCCACCTGCTTCTGCCTCCAGAGTGCTGGGATTAAAGGCATGCACCACCACTCCCTGGCAACTTTTCTTTTTTTTTTTTTAATATTTATTTATTCTGTATACAGTGTTCTGCCTGTATGTATCCCTGCAGGCCAGAAGAGGGCGCCACATCTCAGTACAGATGGTTGTGAGTCACCATGTGGTTGCTGGGAATTGAACTCAGGACCTCTGGAAGAGCAGCCAGTGCTCTTAACTGCTGAACCATCCCTCCAGCCAACTTTTCATTTTCTGAGACAGGCGGGCCTACAGCCAACTCTCAATCTTCATGCCTCAGCCTCCCACATACTGGACTTATAGACTTCCACCAACATGTCTAACTTTTAAAAATTTTAACAACTCATTGTATTTATTATTTGTCTATATACATGACATGTATGTGGTACATGCCATGTCTTTAGACCTCATTTTTTTCTTTTTTTTCGAGATCAAATTTTTTGATATAGTTCTGGATGGCCTCAGGGTGTCAGTGGCTGTTTGGACAGATTTATATACATAGAATTAAACTATTTTGGGGACTGGGGAAATGTCTTGGCAGTTAAGATTACTTGGTGCTTTTGCAGAGGACCTAGGTTTGGTTCCCAACACTCATATGGTGGCTCAACCATTCCTAAGTCCAGTTCCAAGAAATTTGATGCTCTCTTCTGACCAATGTGAGCACCAAGCACACATGTGGTTCTCATACATACACGCAGACAAAGCAGTTACATACATAAATAAATCTTCAAAAAGTTGCTGTTTTGGTAAGTGAAAAAAAAACCCACTAAATTGGCTTATAAACTTATAATATAAACTAGAAATTTAGAAAGAATTTTTTATTTTTCAAACAGGGTCTTTCTACATATCTCTGGCTGGGCTGGAACTTTATGACCTAAACTCAAGACTTTCTTCTGTCTCTGCCTCCCACGTGCTGAGATTAAAGGTATGTGCCACTATGCCTGACCAACAATATATTTAAAAAGGGATGTTTCTATGAGAATGGAAAACTCTGGTAGATGACATTACCAATGGGCAGAGTTCTCACGGAGGAAATGAAGGTGGTAAACCGGGATTAATACCTTTCTTTACACACTTCTTGGTTACTTCCTGTACTTAAGAAGCAAAATTAGGGCATGAGAGATGGTGCAACGTTCAAGAATGCTTGCCGCACAACCTTGAGGCTCAGAGTTCAGACTCAAGGTGATTCTAGATTCACCTGGACCTGATGATTAACATCCATTACCACGCTCAAGTAGACCAGCCTGGGTTACAGACTTCAAAAGAAAAAAAGATTTCTAACGGATTTGGGAAATCAAACTGCACAAAAAGTACAGCCTTCCCCTCCACTTGAAGTCCTGGGACAACTGTGACTCACTGCAGCCCCTTTACTTTGTATGGCAGAGTCTTGATATGGAGTCTGACTGGACAAAAATGCATTCATCAACCATTTCTTCTATTCTAAAAGACAGGATTATGATTTGGGTATTCAGTTTTCCAGCTTAGATTTTGAGAACGGGGGTTCTGTTGACCAGGCTGGTCTCAAACCAGAGGGTTCAAGTGGTCTTCTTGTCTCAGTCTCCCATGGGGTTGGGGTTACCCTTCCCCTTAGCTGATGTGGGAGTCTTACCCACATTCACTAGTGTTTATTAACCTACAACCATAACCACACTGCTATTAAATACTGTAGAAAAACAAAGGAATCTATATCCAGATGTGAATGATATTTCAGTGCTTTTGAGGGCAGAAAAATAAACCACAAAGCAGAACTTTTGCAACGCTGTCTTGCTAAGTCTAGAATGTTATAATAGTTATCAGAAAAAAAGCAAAGTTTAGATAAGAGAAATGGTGAAGGGCTGGTGATACAGATCAGTAGTTCACTGCTTGCCTAATATGCATGGCTCAGGGATTTTCTTGTTTGTTTGTATTTTTTGAGACAAGTTTCTCTGTGTAGTCCTGGTGGTCTTAGAACTTTCTTCCTTCCTTCCTTCCTTCCTTCCTTCCTTCCTTCCTTCCTTCCTTCCTT